AGTCCAGCAGTTCCCCCACGCTCAGGGTTTGTGTATTGGGTACCACCAGGCAAGTTTAGGCTGAAGGTTGTGCTGCTCTTTGTGCTCTTACTGTTCTGCCTGACAGAATAAAATACTCTTTGTGAAGATTCTGACATTCCCTTGTGAGAAGCACAACGGACACCATTTCCATCCCGTCCTCAATGTATTCAGCCTCAATACCACTCATGGTTTAATGTGCCCATGACATTTGTGCCTACAGTAATCAGAGGTGGGATACAACAGGATGCCCATCCACTCTTCTTGCAGTGCCTCTGAGTGTAGCATATCCACAGTAGCTAAACGAGAGCAGCCTTAGTGACTCTGGTGAGCTTCTGGAATGAGTTTTGTTCTGAATGTTTTCAGTGGCTTTTTTTTTTTTTTAATGTTTTCAAGCTGAAAACATTTTGCCAAGAAAGAGTGGGGTTTGTAGAGTCCCTTTAGGATGAAGGGAGGATGGGAGCAGAGCAGATACACCAGCTTTGCCACTTGTAGAATCTGGGTAGGTGCTGACTGACCCAGAGTAAAGGAAGCATGTTCAGAAATCTCTCCTCTCCTTGCCTTCTACATCTTAATCTCCTGCTCTAGCTCCTGACACTGCAGCATCAGGTACCCTCTCCTTTCATCTGGCACAGAGAGCAGAAAATGCCATTATCTAGAGGTAACACCTTCCCTTTCATGTATATATAATACAGAGATGCATGTACTTGAAATTTGACAAAGACAAGAAAATATATTTGAAAGCCATTTCTCTCTTAGGGAAGCTTACAGGGTTGATCACTCACTAGGATAAGAAAAAAAAATATTTCATTTAAACTCTTGAATACTATGGTGGGAGAGAAAACTGTTCAAAAACTTTGTTATTCTTCTGTCTTTCCTCACCCCAGATATTTTATCTCTTCCAACAACAATTTTTACCATCACACCTTATTCAGTTGAGAACACACATACCTGGGTCACATATTCACTTGGGTTGTGTGAGATGGATTTGTATCTGTTCCCAGAACTCATTTGAACCTCTGTAAAAATGAAAGACAGTAGCAGAGCAGTTTGTAACAATGTAAATTTTCCCCACCTATTTCCTTTAACCATAAAAAAGTGTATTTAGTAGCAGTGAAGGTGGACAACTCCTTTGCAAAACAGCAGTGAAATACCAACAGCTGGGGTTGCAAGTTCAGCCATGTGCAGAGCCATATTTACATGCACATTACCTGCATTTCTTCCAAGCACGTACTTGTCAATTGATGCTTTTGAACAGTATTTATCGTATCCAATGCTCCTGTCCCAGTGCACACACATCAGATTTTGCGTGTTTCATCTGTGGCAAACAAATTTCTTTTTTTGAAAGCCAGAAAAAGAGATTATTCAACATGTCCAAAGGAAAGATATAGCCTGTATCTGTGACTTTTTGTGTGTTGCAAGTATCAATATTCAGATTCTGGTATTTTAGACACACCAGCTGAACATCTGTTGTTTTATTTATAAATAATCTGAGTAGCCTTAAAGGAAGAGGTGTTTTCAAGTATTTCTCATACTTGCACATCCTGTATATTCATTGTTTACTTTTGTAGCTTGGTATGTAATAACATTGCTGAAATATGGGCAATGTTCAGGTCACCTTAAGTATATTATGTATTATCACATTTGTGGATTAAAAATGTGTGATTACTGCCTTTTTTGTTTCCTTTTGATTCATTTATTCTACCATCCCTATTGCATCACACGCACCCAACACCAACACGTGTCAGCAGCAAACAGAATTTCTGTTTTTCCCCAATGTCCTCCAGCACTTGAGCTACAAAGTGATGCTGGCTCAGTGTGTTTAGTAGAGCAGCCCCATCACTGAGCTCAGAAACTCCTTCATAAGCCACGGGGAGGAACTGGCACAGACTTCTTGCCTTCAGGTACCACTTCTCCCTGGGCTTAGCCTGAGCCGGTGCCTGGAACAGACACGAGCAGCCTGAGGCAGGGGCAGAGCACGTTGCAGGCCAAGATCTCACTATCCTTCTTGCAAGTACCTTCTTGAAAGTTTCCCATGGTGTATTTAGCTCAGTTTAGCTCCATGTCATTTAAACTACAGGGAAGACACATCCCTGGCAGATTTCAAAGCCGTGCCCTAAACACGGAGGTGCTAGAACCTATCAGAATGTTTTAACAGCAGCAGGCACATATTCTCCCATCCTTATTTCCAGAAAAAGCAAACTGCTTTGGTTGAAGGAGCTCAGGATTTGCAAACAACTCACACGGCAATTATACTGAAAGCAATTAAAGGTTGGCACAAAGAGAAAACTGACAACTACCTTGAAATCTGAGTTTAAAGCAATCTTCCTAAGTGGTGCTTTGAACCTCCCTGCTGGTGAAGCATTGCTGTCAAGTTAATTTTATGAATCATATCATGGCAGGACACAATATTCTTTGCTGCATCACTGCCAGCTTTATGTAATAAAGAGAAAAATGTTAATGTTCAAGAAACTCTCATGGGAGTGACCACTTCTGGCACTCTAATGAAAGGGTCCCTGTACCACTGAGCAGCACTTCACACTGAACATGTGACCTGATTCGTGCTAGAGAAATGTTCTTACAGAAGGGCACATAAATAGCTGACCCTGAAGAGAACCAAGAAGTAAAGCACAATTAACTCTTACCACAGCAACTGAAATGCAAAAGCAACTTTTACCTGGATGACTTAAGTGGATCTATTTCTGTTTTTACATAAATCAATGCCAGAAAGAGACAATGCACAGTCTTACCCACAAAGAAAAAGATAATACAGCTTTTTAGGCTGAAAAACTACTGGTGGGATTCTATAGGAGATAAACACCTTTCCAATATTTAGAAGCCATCAGACAATGTCATTTATGAGCTATTCACAAGTACAGGAAAACCTCAAGATAGTGCCATCCATTACACAAATTTACTCTTCTAGGTCCTTAAAGGATGAGGAGGATTTGGGAATACCTAGCAGAAAGTAATGTAACACAAGAGATTTGACCTATATTTAGGAAAATACCCTACATCATATTGCCATGCTGCACTGCTGTCCATTTTCCTACCAAAGTATTTGTTTCATTAAAAATATCTGAAAATACTTGGGGTAAGGAAGGAGAAGCTGACAAAACAGTTGGAATATGGATCCAATATAATCACTAACCTGTTGACTCCCAGATGTTCAGAACTCCAAGCTGCCCATGGCACGCAGCAGTAAAAGAGTGAGGTGTCCTGGTACCCAGGGTTTGGTCCAAACGTTGTTAACCTGCCAGTTCAGAAAGGTCAGTTTATACTGATTGGCCTCTGGTTGCCTCTTGAAACCAAACTTCTTCATGCAAACTGGTTATGTGCTCTCTTCCTTCTAGCCTGTTTCTATCCCTTTCCTGGAAAACAGCCTAAGCCTTCAAGATCTACCAAGTCACACAGAAAAGTAACTGGGAACACCATGGAGGAAGATAGTCACAAAAGGATTTTCAATATAGAACCAGATGGAAAAACATTTCTTTGTATAATTATCTATGCAGTCATATTTCAGAGACAGCTGGATGATGGAAGAAGATCAGAGGGATTTCCAGCACTGAATTGCTGAGGTTCTCAAGGGCCTGAACTCCCCAGTTCAGCCAGGACTCCTGTTACACACTGGCAGCTTTTTTACACTAACCATCCCCCTGACTTAGACCAGGGCTGCAGCCACCTGCAGTTCAGCTGTTATGTCCAACTCCCCGAGCTCCCAACTCTATTGCAATGCTTTCTTATGTCAGCACTGAACTTAACAAAATGCTATTCCTGTCAACTACGAATAACAAGAGATACTCAAGTCTCCTGTGATGCCTAAAACCAAAACACACAATCTGGCAGAATTCCAAAAAGAGGGTTGGACAACATAAGCGACACAGAGAATGCTGTTCCAAAGATCTAAAGTGTAGTCTTGCAGTCTTCTGGTACCTCCAAGTGAGACACGGGATATTTAAATCACCAATGGACTCAAGACTTCTGTGGTGTTACATTCTTCATCACTGTCCAGATGTAAAGAGAAACAATTAAAATAGAAACTAGTTCTTAACATGCAGAAACACTGCTATATGTGATGGCAAAGAACATGTAACAAGGATTAAGCTAATTTTTTAAATAAAACTGAATTTTATTAAACTGCAAGAAATGCAAAGATGGTGATAGATTCAGAACAACATTTGCTGGGCAATCCAAAAATAAAGACCAACACAGGTACAATTCCCTGCAAACTCCTTGAAGTGGTTTTAATACCATAAAGCAATTAGAATATTGACACTTTGACATACACTATTCATACAGTGAAAAAGGTTACAAAGAACATTACATGAACAACAGAAGGCATTGCTGTCTTTTGCTGTTCTTTTTAAACACTAAGACAGTAACATCTCATTGCTGAAATGGTTTGAATGCATAGGCCACAAACAGATACTTGTATTAATAGTTCCTATGATTACAGAAGTCCAATTGCATAACGCAATTTACCAGCAGGGAAATAGTTTGCTGGAAATTATTCCACTATAAATCAGTTTTCATTTATATAAACTGTCTTGAAGTGCCAAGTAAACATTAAAGTATGCAGAACATTAAATATATTTACAGGTTCAGTGCACTTTAAATTCCTCAGTAAGAGGGTACTGAAACAGCAATAAAAACAGTTTTGCTTGTATGATTATACTTGTGATAACACAAGTAGCATGACTTAAAAAAACCCCAAACTATCAGCACATTAACATTCTTAGGACAATTTCATCAACATTTACCAAAACATCAAAGTAACAATACTTTATTTTTCTTTACAACCAGTGCTTATCAGGTGAGAATCAGTAATGCTGAAATGTAACAGAGAGTTTCCTTGTTACTATTAAACACACAAAGGAGAGAATTCCACTGTGGAATCCATTTATACCATGTCTGAACTGTGTGTACAACCTTTGATGCTTTTAAATAGAAAACATGACCAGCTATAAATAATATTAAGCAGTACTAGTTTTCATTTAGCATTTAAATAAATTAAGATTGCTGGATTTTCAAGACTGTGAGGTTATTTCAGGAAGAGAAAACCTCCTCAGCCACAGTTTCCATGTATACTGCTCTGATTTAATCTCTCATGCCTTGCTGCAGTTCCTAGCAGTGCACGCACAACATCTGTGCAAGTCAAAGGTTTGAGGAGTCATACTGAGCTTATAAATAATTAGAAGAAAAAATAAATGAAAGTTTTCCCCATGTGAATTTTTCATGGACAGAGATATTGGCCAGATTAAGTTTATAGGGTTGACTGGACAGCAATGAACATGTTTCACTACCCATGTTGACAACCAAGGTCAACATGTCCACAGTCAAGTACCCCCAGCTCAGTCACCTCAGGCTTGATCCACATCAAACTTTGCTTTAGAGATGCACAAATACTCAGTGACTGTCACAGACCCCTATGGAAAGGGAACACAACTGAAACATGAGGCAGGAAGAACTGCAGACAGGGACTAACCTGAGGGGCCTTAGATCATCCCCCAGGAGGTGCTTCCATGGGATCTCACATGCTTGACTCCTATCAAAAACTGTTTAGATGTTACCACTTCCATGGTAAATATCAAAGATCATGGGAAGTGTTTTGTTCCCTAGAATCTTTTAACTGTTTTAAAACTGTGCATTTGTTGCTACATAAGTTACTTTATACAACCACCAGTATGGGTCTTGTTGCCAACAGTGCTTAAAAATAGCTTTAGAAAAATTACCAAAATAAAATTAGATGATCCTGATAACTGATCGAGTCTGACCCTATAATGGAAATATGTTTTCCTTTAAATCATATTTAAGTAGTTGCCATGAGAAGTAATCATTGGCATCTATAAAAGCTGCATAATAAAAATAAATACTTTCCATCATTTACAACAAAATTAAGAAATATACATTTCACTGAAACAAGTTACAATACTTTAATGTACTGTACAGTCCTGAGCATGTTTTTGCAGGCGTAATTTAGGTCATTGCTCTTTCCCCACAAGTCCACATGACATATGCCAGCTGGAAGAAAACTTCTAATACTCCAAGAAGCAGTATCTTAATTTAGCTTTGGTAATTATCTGTGCAACTGTATAAATCTTTTCACACCCCAAACAGGTTAAGGCAGGCACTATTGTTATTAGGATTCCCCCATCACCTTTTGACACTGATAGAGCAAACCATCTGGAAGGGCAGCACAAGGTGATCTGAACCACACAGCCAACATCCCTGAGTGAGTACGGCAGTGCAGCAGGCAGGGCACAGATGGAAGCAGCTGGCATGCCAGTATTCCCTCATTACCTTAAAACAAAAAAGACCACAGAAAAATAAAAAAAGAAGTAACAAATAACAATTGCTACAGTATACTTCATAAATGTATCTTTCAAACTCCACGTGTGCTGTTCTCTTCTACTCTTCCCTCTAACTCCTCTAACAAGTCACCACAAATCACGCTAAAATCCCAGTTTCATATTTGTCCCACAGCTTCATTCCCTTCTTTTTGTCCTGTCCAATACTCTTCATGATGCAAGTTTCCTCCTTTGTAAAATTTACTGTTTGTTGTACACTTGTATCTTTACATCACCTTCACAAAGACCCCCACGTAAGGCAAACAAAGTCCACAGGAAAACAGTCCCGAGTTTACTGTCCTCCCAAACATTCCCCACCTCAAACTCTAAGATACTCACTTCCATGCACCCATTTTCGTGGGAAAAGTTGTATATATTATATGCATACCATATATAATATACTTTCACTTACCTATAATGTCAACTACATGGAGTTTCAGCTTCTGTTGCAGTGTGTTCAAGGCTGCTGAAAGGGAATCTTGGGAAGACGACATTTTTATATTCTGTTTCACATCATTGGAAAGGGACAACCACAGCTTTCCAAAGTCTTCTGTAGTCATTTCCATTGGCCTAAAAAAAGATCACCACATATTTTAGCAAAATGAGATATGTAAGTCACAAAAAAAATCATATCTGGAAGCACCTGGACAACAGAACAAGCAATAAGCAAATTCATGTTAGTTTAAACAAACTCCTCTTAGCATAGAAGTTTCTATTCTTTGCTTTAGGTTTCTAAATTTTAAAGGAATAAATATATAGATTTCACTTCAAAAGAAAAGTCTGCTGGAAAAAAGGACACTTGCTTTTTCTACTCCTAAAATAAATGCAGTGTTCCGAAATTAGAAGAATGAGTTTTCTTCTTCCCCTGCAAAAATTGTCAGCCTTTTCATATAATATTCTGGTCCCTGCACTCAAATCACTTCTTTCAGTTTGACATGTTTACATTATGCCATATTTTAAAACATCATGCCCTTCTGTTCACTCAGTTTTCAGCCTCCTCAAAAACACATTCTGTAATTCAAGGCTATTCTAACCTGCAGCTACTGTCAATATCCTCACTGGATTTGTACTTCTTGCTGGAACTTTTCCTCTGTTTTGGAAGTGTAAAATAACCCTTTATTATCTTTAACAGTAATCTCAGATTAAAACTAGCTGCTCAAGAAGGAGTCTTATATTTTCAAAGTCAGTACCCAAATCATCCTGCCCTTGTCTAATACTGAGTTGAGTACAGGTGTTTTTAAAAAAATGCAGCTTTTTTTATTTACCTGATGAAGTCCATCAGTGACAAAGTTACTGAAAATTCAAGGCGAGTTTCCATCTCTGACTGGTAACTAACAGAGCCAGAAAGAATTCCCTGGGTACAGATTTTGTTCATCCTCACACATTTCTGGCAATGTTCCAAACTTTGAGCTTCAATTACAGGAAACTGGTGGGTGGGACTCTCCAAAATCTATGTGATGTTTTAAAAGGAATATAGAACGTAAGTCTTGCTGTCAAGTTTCGCAAGTGATAAAGATACAGTTAGAAAATTGTGTAAGTGCCTTTTATTTCCACTGATTTTTCTTGGACTATTTGACAAGTGAACAGAACTAGTATTTCTCAGCCCTCATGAAGGATAAATCAATAATTAACATCTACAGGTGTTCTGTGAGAAGTAAAACAGTGGTGAAACTCATCTCTGGCAATCGGCTTCCCCCACCTCTGAATAACTGCACCAAGAACCTGAATTCTGTAGTTCAGTCTCAAAATATAAGCAAGTAGCATTTGCAACATACCTCAAGCTATATGCTAAAAGTAAGAAGTTGAGAAATCCTCCCTAATAAAAAGGATGATTTCAAGATTACTCAGCAGTCCCCAGCCTCTCCAAACAAAGCAGTAACACAGATTCTATCCATGGTAGTGGTCTGTGTGGGAACTTAAGTGAATTACAAGAAGAAAACAGACATGAAATGCCCACCCACTTTCTACCAAGGACAGGTTTGATTCAAGTTAGAAAAGGAAAGGAAGGAGACTCCATAACCAATTAGCAGTTCCTTTCCTGCTTAATTCTCTTTATCCAGTTATCATTTGCTGAGTGTTTAATAATTCTGTGTTTCTTCTAGCAAAATCTGTGGATAGTCATGCTGATTGGCAATTCCTAGCCATCTTTCCAAATATTTAAATGAAGTTTCAATCAAGACTCTAACATGCTTTTACCAACCGTAGTTAAATTCCAGATGTAGCCAATGCAAAAAAATAAACTGACAACTCTCCTGCACCATCAGCTGAATGCATGAGAATGAAATATGACTGGTAGCTTAGGGGAAAAGGAGGAGGGAGGAAATCGAAGCAAGCCTACACAAATTTTATGTCAGGGAAGTAACGGAATCACACGGATTTGTTATATGGAGGCAAGCACTCCATATAATTAAAAAAGTGAGATGCTAACTTTTAAACCAAATAACACTAAGTTTATATTGAGATTTCTCTCACTGCCCTTCAGAATATGTGTAACAGCAGTAACCACAAGTTTTAAGGAAATACTTTGGAAAAAGGCATGACTATTACATTAAAGCAAGCATTGCACAGTGAAATGCAAGAGAAAAGTGAGAAGTTCCACGTGCATTTCAAATACAATGGAAACACAGTTTCTTACCTGAAAGTGTTCTGTTTCTTCAAACACTAAGTTCACAGCATTAAGTGCAGAAGTGGTTTTATTGGAAACTAAGACAGTGAGCAACAGAGAGTCATCTGTCCACACCTTACATAAATACAGAGCTAAGGCATCACTCTGATGAAGTTCTAGTACCTCAGAGTGAGGAAGCTCTTCAAGTTCTTCTGGTAAGGAAGGAACCAATGGTGTTTCACTGGCACTTTCACATTGAGCACTTGGAGAAGGCTGAAAAATTTCAATATTACTATCAGCAAACAAAGATGACTGTGACACCCTATTATCTGAAAGTCTGTCATCCAGCACAGATTTTTTAAGGGATTGAGGTGTTTCAAATGCTAAATTATCTTCTACAATATCTGAAGAGCACAGGGAGGCTTTCCTTAACCTTGTGTGTGTACTTTCCTCAGAGTCTTCTGTGTTAATAGGTACTGTATCAAGTAAGGGACCAAAATCTGAAGCAGCACTACTTTTGAAGTCTGATGCCTCCTCACTATGTTGAGTTTCATTTATCTTTGATTTCCTTTTGAACTTTTGGGTAGCTGTGTCCACTTTCCCCATCTGAAAAGAAAAAAATGGTTCTGTTACTATTAACACAATGAAACAGTGAGCAGGGACAAGGAATCAATACAGATGACAAATACAAACAGATTCCAGACATTTTAATGGATTCCAGCTGTTGTTGTATTTCTTACAGGGTACTGAATTAGCTTACAATGCAAGTATGACTCTAGGTTCTCTTAAACTAAAAGCTCTTAATAAAACTAAGAACAGCTAAATAGTTTCTGGTTAACCAGTGATAAATGCCAAGATGTGAACTGGCTAGTAAGATGCCAGTCTTAAAAAGACTACCTAATGGTGAATTCTTATGTTCCAGATACTACCACTGACATATTAAAAATGGTCTTGACACAGGGTGTCAAGCTCTAGCCTTACTGCCAAATGAATGGCAACAGCTCTGCAAAGCTGGGTCAAGGAACAATTGTTCAGGAAAACTGTGACTTAAACTTGAAGCACAACACATAAACAGAGGGAAGTTCTAGTTACCAAACCAGATCTGCTCCAGATGTTGTTGCATCAAGTAATATCCAAGCTGTTTCATGTTCTTAACAAACTCCCAGATTGCAAAAGTAATTTTCAGTAGCTTTTCAGTTACTTAGGGGAAATTTGTCTTATCACTAATTTGATCTTCATTTGCATACAAATATCTATAATTTTAGATAAGGTTATATGTAAACTATAAACTGTTAAGTCTCAAAAGAGCCACTTACCAGACTGACACCAGCACTTGATCCCAGCCCAACAAATAAAGTTGATGCTAACTGCTGCTTCTCTTTGTCTTCCTCAGTGAGGCTGGCACCTTGATCAGACCTCAACACAGGAGGGTCACCTGCCTGTCCTGCTAATAAGCTGCCACAAGAAACTGTTTGTGGCTCATTTTCTTTCCCTACTTTTTCTTTCTTTGGAAGATAACCTTCTTTTCCCCACAGCTTACGTACTCCCTCAAGTTTCAGAGTATTTGTCCTAAAAAAGCAAACAAAACAAAGCAGGATCAGCCATATGAACATCATGTTCTTAAAAAACTCCAATACTCAAACACTCTTTGGTATTCACAACTTTGGTACTTTGATAGACACAGTGAGCAGTGAAATATAAGTGAACACTTGCATCTACATGAAGTTCTATGTTAGTAATGTTACATTACTTTTAAAACATCCCACAAATGTAAACCTGGACTAGGCTATACATTACTTAAGTACAGACCTATATTAAGCAGCATTAAACACCTGCAACCAGTAGTACACTCTGTTTGCCACCTCCACTCAAGAGTTTCAGACTACATTTATAATATATTTGAGTAATTTTTTAAAAGGTAAATATAAGCAACATGGTATCTATCCTTCTCCCCAGGAGAGAGGTTCTGGGAAGACATTTTCCCATAAAGATTCTGAAAAGGTTTCCTGCAACCAATTTACAGGACTATGAATTAATTTTTTAATTTGTATGAAGTTATGGACCTGGAATAGTTTGTAGTGTTCTAAAACTTACACTGCAAATCTTAGCCTCACTTTTATCTAAAAAAAGCTTCCTTAAAAGGCACATTATTAAGTATTTTTTCTCTGTCATCTTTTTCTTACAGGTTACACTTGTTTTTAATGGGAATACGATAAATTAATTATCAGGTAATCTTGTCTCCATTTTACTGCATCTACCACCACCTAATTTGTAGTCTGTGAAGAAAGTGGAAAAAGAGTCTAACCACGTTGGTTTTCCTAGTAATTATAAAGATACCACTACCTGAATTTCTTTTTACATGACAGATGTTTCCAAGTTCAACTGCATTCTTTCTAGTTCCATGTAATGAAGCAGCAAAGACATGATACTGACAACAAACAGAAGCTTAAATGTGCTTCATTTCAAACACAGGTTAACTCACTCTTTGTGCCCTGTCTCAGCACTATTACCAGATGTATCAGAACCAAAAGATAAACCAGTGGGGGACTGTCTGCCGGTGACACCAGATGAGGACACACTTGAAGCAAAGGACAATCCATAAGGTTCAAAATTCAGAGCTGCAAGACAGACAATCTTATAATTACAATGAGGAATAAAAAAAAAAAAGAAAGAAATCTGTTTTCTGAAAACAGATATCCCTGTACTGCTGGACTTCTCAGGCTTTCACTTTAACAAACCCCATAAATTTCAAATCCTACAGACCAGCAGAGATTATAATAAAACTTTCTCCCATCACAAATAACAACATATATCCATCAGCTAGACTGATGTGGAACTAAAATCTAAACTGAATTTAGCTCTTGTTTACACACAAGAGATGTATTAAGATACTATTACTTTAAGAAAATGTATTAACTGTAAACTTAAATTGTTAATACTTATCAGGTAATTTATCAGCTATTAAATAAATGCTGCAAACTTTCACCTTTCTCCTGAGAAAGTTTCTCCTCTTGCCTCTGGTGATGAGGTTTATATGGTGCTGCCCCACGACCAAGTCCTTCGGCCACAAACCCATCCAGAAAAGATAAGGAAGCATCTACCTACACAGAATTAAAAGGAACAAAAAGGCAGTGAAAATATTTGCTATATCTGAGCCTGGTGTTACCAGTAGAATATTGTGTCTTATCATCAGATCAGGATCTTCACTCTCTCATCTCCCGTATCTACCAGTAGAGCTGCTGTATCAACAGCAATGGTTCAGCAAGTATGTTGAAGCAGACTTTGAGCTAGAGATTTGTAACTTAACTCCTCCACTATTTGACTTATATATTAATTTATAAAACAGAAAAAAAAAAAAGAAAAAAAGCAGAGTTGAATCTTCCAAAAATGGTTGATACTACCATTATATGACAATACTGAATTCAAACAAACCCTCTCAAAAACCTCAGCGATATCAATCCTCTTTTCCAATATTTTTTCCATTATTTCAAGTTTAGTAGTTTCTAAGTAGGAGAAAACCCTATGGATTAAAAAGCAGTACTATATCACTAAGCAGGCCTACCATGTCTTTAAAAAAACCCAAAAGACAACTACAAATAAACCACTGCATGAAATGATCATCTTGTTAAAAGCAACTCCAGCTTACTTAACACTGTGGTTCTTTATCTTTCAGTACAGAACATTATGATTGACCACATATGCCTGAAAAAGTGTTTCTGAAAACTCACTTTAAGCAGACTCAACTAACACCAGTCAGAACTGCAAATACCATTCATTTTGAAAACACGTTTTCACCGAAATATTCAACCCCCTGAACTACAAAGAGGTTCATGAAAAACAAACAGTGCAGCTGTCTTACCACCATATCATTGCAACTAGCATCAAATGGAAGCAAATTCTTCATCAGTGCTTTGTCTTCACAGAGATGTTTCAATTCAAAGGCATATTGTCTTATGCAGGTATCTAGAGAGCTGCTAAATTCTTGGATGAGTTTGTCAACTGTTTCTGAACAGGAGGTATGTGATGCTATCTTGGTGACTGCAGCCATTATCCACGCTTTAGTTTCAGAAGTAACATAAGTCTTCTTCAGCAGGCTGTGTAGTTTTGTCAAAATAACTTCTGGATCAACATCTGTAACAAGACTGAAATATTCTCCCAACACCTATTCACAAAGAACAGACAAAACACGCATTTAGTCACACAGAGCAGTGCTTTCAGTTTTGAAATTAGAATATAGTACTAAATAACACAATAAAATCCACCTCATGTTCAAGAAATTATTATTTTAAACATCTTCTAAATTATTTCTTTACCATTTTGTGTTTTAAATGTCAAAGGCTTGAAGTTAGCTTTGTGTTTATCTCAGTAGATTCCAACTTTTAGCTTCTTAAAAATCCAACAGCTGTTGGGAAGAAAGCTAAACATAACCAGGTCCTGAGAAAACACAATTTGTTCACACTGCAGCCTCTCCCTTGGGTGGAAGCTGAAGCTTACCCAGGTACCAGATAATACCAGCACAGCACCTGGTCAGGCTAAAAATGCATTTCAAAACCACATCTGGCCTAGTTCTGATGAAGACAGAAAGGCTTTCAACATGCAGCCAGGTTCAGGTGGCTGCTAAGCAATTCCATCAGCCTTAAAGGGAGTTTTTCTACAGCTTTTCTACAAACTACAAGCAGTCCTTGGTCACCAAAGAGGTCACTAAAATAGGATTGCAGCATATTAGCTTGATTTCAAGTAAAAAAAAAAACAAACTCATGACTAAAAATACAAGAGTCTAATAAATATTTATTAAAAACATCACCTTAGACAGTTTCCTCATATATGGATTTTGACCATGTGTCTACCTTACCCAACTCATAACTTGAAGGAATTTCTGTGGATACAATGTATCTTCCTCTCCAAGTAATGATAAATAAGACTGCACTGCATACATCCGTAGCTGATGATCCTCCTTTCCATCATCAAATCCTAGACAGAAAACAATATAAGATTTCCTTGAAACACAAATAACAAATCCTACCAAATATTTTGAAGTACATTTTAAGAAAAAAACCCAGATTATCAAGGAACATGTCTGATTCTTCAGAGCATTCAGGGAGCTGCTCACCTTCAGCCAACAGCCTCAGAAAGTTGTTTGGGATGTCAGGATGCACAACATCACCTCCGACTGAAAACACAGCATTCATGGTCTGGATGAACCACTCGTTGTTAGGAGCATACGTGTCCAGGTGTTAAGGAATGAAGTGCTAAGGCACAACTTTATGTTTCTTACTTGTGTGTTTCCTAAGGAACACCCATCTTAATCTCCCCAGTAAGTTGGGGATCTGATGGTCAAATACCAGCTCAATCTAACTGAAGAGGAAATGTTCCTGCATCTTTCAGAAAGCATTTCCCATACATTTCATGGGAACTGGTCGTCAGGTAGAGAAGTGTTAAGTTACTGCCCTGTTGAAAAAGTTGTCAAGTAGACCTCACACAGCAGGAACAGACATGTTGACATATGTGAACTACTCTATTTTAAGCTCACACTTGTCCCGTGCTGGGCTTCCAGCATAATCTTTTGAGTTTGTTTACCCAACATCACCTGATCAATGATAGAAAAGCTGTTATTTTCAGCAGCATTTTGCTGTTGACTTACAAATTTTATGAAAACAATGAACATTTTGAAGCACTCCACAGAAAGCATTACTGGCTTTTTAAACGCATTTAGAAGTTTTTTAATATATTTAAAATTTGATCAGCCTTTGCTAACTTTGAAAGTTAGCTTCTGCCTTCCCTCAATCAAGTCCTGAAAATGCAGTTACTGAATAGACATTTTCAACAGTTTAGAAACATTGATATTGCCTTATTTTTGCATAGAGCAGGACAACACAGCTTTTTTTTGTACACTACTCTGTTCCAAGCAGTGTACAAATAGGATGGTAAGGCAGCTTTCTGTTAAAAAGCACTTACAACTCAAATTATCAGACAGAAGTGCACACAGAAAATCATGCAATGGCAGGTCTAACATGCCAAATCCCTAGCCAGCACTTCCATCTTTTTGGCATTGTTAAAGAATCTTTTCTTTATTTCTATCAAAGTGTGTTATTCTTCAAATCCATATACCAATGAAGAGCTAGTTCTCTGACAGAACATCATTTCCACAATTACAGAATAGCACTCCCTCCTGCAGTAGTGTAAGACTTCCTAGTTTGAATTTAAAAACACAAGGTTTTAATGCTAAACTCCAAAGCCAAAATATTTTGAGTGCCATTACTTTCTCTCCATGAAATACAAGAAACACAGCAGTCATGTTTGTATATGTTTCTCTTTTGCATACTTTTTTTTTGAAAGAGTGGAAAGCGCAGCTGTAACACTTCTGTTTCAAAAGATCATGAAAGATGCTTTGAAAGGTATAAATGTTACATATGCCTGAGCTCTGACTTCAAAGTTTCAGAAAAATAAAAGGATATTTCTCAGCTAGTTCAGAAAAATAAAAGGATATTTCTCAGCTAGTTCTGCTACTTTGGCAACTAGGTTGATGATAGCATATTCTTCTTTACTTTCTTTTAAGTAGTCAAGCATCTTTTGAACTATGACAATGACATTCTGTCCATTTGTAATCCTATAGAGAAGCTCTAAAGTCTGCAAGAGAAAGCAAAAAAAATCAATTGGTTCTGATGACACAAAAAAGGAAGCAGGCAAACAGTAAAATCAGTATGATGCCAAATTGAGTAACTATCTTTATTTAGCAAGTTTTAAATGAAATACACTGATTACCTACACAGCTTGTCACATTAATATTGTTTTAACTACCCTCTCACAGTAACTGAAAAATAATATCCCTTTTACACTACTAATTTCAGAAAAACTATCATCCATCTTAAAAATTAACTTAATTTTTGACATTTGAAAATTCACTCACCTCCCTTTTAATAATGGGATCTGGATGGTCCAGACATTCAATTATTGTCATCTGGTGCTGAAGGGCCAGATTAGGATCCTGCTGGATAACATAGGTCAGAGCCTTTAAACCTAGAATGTGATTGCAAGTGATATAAGACAATGCATACTACTATGGCCACATTCAAAACAGCATAATGCAATCAGGCAGCCTTACCTAAGTACTTCAAATTAATTTTGGGTGACAAAACAAATTTTCCAATGCACTTGGCAGCTTTTTCAAGTAGTTCAGATTTGGGATAAATTGTATAAATTGTTTGGACACATTCAAATAAGATGGCTGCAAGGGGGGAAGACACATTATTAGTGTGTATTAAATAATTCTATAATTCAAAAATTTTTAACAAACAAGCTCAGTGACTGTCTCAAGGAACTGCAGTGCTGTCCCACCCCCACTGAACTGAATCACAGAGTACCCACTGACATAAGGAAAAACAGGATGAAAGCCTATCTCTTTTACTATATACATATTTTTATTAGCCCTTGCCACTGTCCATACAACTTTCTGTCCTTAAAGTTCTTCCAACCTTCAAGTCTCCTATAGTTGCTCAAAGCACTGGACTGGAACAGTCTTCAGAAAGCCAATGGGCAACTCTTAAGGATTTGAGACGAAATATTTTCTGATAATTCATATGATGTCTTAGCTTCTAACAACAGCCAAAATCATCCCAAAAACAGCCTTGTTAAAAAAAAAAAAAAAAAAGCCATCCCAAAATCAAAACACAAACCAAAAAAAACTTTGTAGAGTTGTTTTAGAAAAATCTAGAAGTAAACTGAACAACACACAAAAAGTAATTAATCCTTTGTGGCAACAATCTGGGCAAAGATTCAGATCAAGTCAGTCTCCCAAGTTAATTAGGGCTTAAAATCATGATGTAATTTTCAGTTTTTCTTGTAATTCAGTACAGTAGTTCAGTAACTGAACTGTCCAGTAGACAACCTCCTACTTTTAAAGTGTTACAAAACTAAAGCTGAGGAAGAGTAGCATATGAATAACTCAACGGAAAGAAAAACATGCAATAATCAATTACTTCATATAAGAAAGTGTAATCACTCATAACTACATTTTTCTTCTGTCTGGATCAAATGGTTTTAAAGAACACTTAATCACTTGTTCTACTATTTACTAGTTGGACATTCAAGAATATTATTAAGAAAATAATTAGATATTTCTAAAGCACTAAGTAAGTATTTTGGCACAATCAACTACTCACAATTTTCCATCTTTTCAAAGACTGATAGTTACAGAAAATAACCTCACCCACCATATGTAATATTATGATTTATCTCTGCTCTTCTTAAAGATTCATCTAGAACATCATACATCAATTCACTTGTCCTGTTTAAGAAAAAATATTTAACATTAATTGCAGCACTAATAAGCATGTGGTCTTTTTTTGCCACACAGTTCAAAGTCTAGTATAGAAATTGGAACATTATTCATATCCACAAATTCACTTTAACACAGAGGAGCTCTATAAGATGAGCCTAAATGGCATTTAACAAGATATTTGCAGCTTTCAAATAAACATCTACCATATCACAAGAATGTGATATGGTATAAATAAAAAGATCAACAGGAAAAGGATCACAGACAACTAGGTCCTCACAAAATGCACTTTTAAAATAGCTTTACTCTGGATTTTCATACAGTTATTTGGTAACCAGCAAAATATATATTTTAAGCATATTCCACAATCAATTGTTTAGCCAATTCAGAAGCTAAGAAACAAATTTTGCAGAACTAGTCTGCTCACTGTCTTGATTAATAACAAATGTATAAGAACTTCGATGTTGAAATCCTCCTAAAAATTACCAACCAAGCAAACCCAAGCTGTCTGTGAGGTTCAGGCTGTGACTGTACTCTTTGTACCTTCAAATTATTAATTACAGAGAAAGATTTGGTTACCTTGGATCATCTTTTCCTAACAGCCCCAATATTCTTAAAAGCTGAATTTGTAACCATGGTGCTGGCACACTGTGATAGTTGAAGTCAGAAGAGAGCTTTCCTCCCACTACCTGCTTTAGGATGGTTACAAAACTCCCAGTCAAGTCCTTGTATCCAGATGAGTTTTCCTACATAATGAAGAACAAACACAATTCAAACAGTTTGATACAGCAACTCAAAAGTAAAAACAATCCAAAACTTGTGTAGGATCAAAATATCTGTGCTGATGGTTCCATTACTTTAAATTAAACTTCTGCTCTCATTCCCCAACACTCATAAGCTCTTCACTTTAAATCTATGCTCTTTTCTCACACATTTGGAAAGGGAGCAGATGTAACATATTCACAAGCAAATTCCATCAAACCCTTAAACACACCGTAGAACTGAGATCCTCCAGGCAAGGATCCAATGATGCTGAGCATTCAGATCATGCAAGAAGTGGATCTAAATGGAGAGCTGGCATAAACAAACATAACACAGATGCCCATGATCACACTAATTACCTTTTCTAATGATTACAAGTAAGTTTTTTCTGCAAAACTTCTGTACGGTACCCTGTGGATTTAAAACGAAAACACATAAAAATATCTCCCAAGTTCAGCTGTGCTTCCAATTCTTTGCCTACCTTAATCATTTGCAGATAAATATGCAGAGAAGCAGCCATGACTCCAGCATCCCTGTCACATAAGGCTTTCCGGAACTTATCGTGGATGTGCTGAACTTGGTTAGGAGCGATGAGATAGAATTTATATAAAGCCTGAACAGCTTTTCTTCGGATAATTTCCCTGAAATGAGATTTACACGCAGCAAAATGAAGCTGCCTGTGTATTTTAAGTACTTCACAAAACAACTTGCACTTTTTATTTCTAGAGCACTGTAAGATCAAATGGCCAGTCATGATTTGCAGAGAGATGAAAACCTGTGTTTTACATATTTGGTAACAAATGACTTGGCAATACTACCTAAGTGAGGAAGTGACAAAGCAAACTTTAAAGCCTAGTAGGGTTTGATGTCAGATTGGTTATTCAAAAGAATGGCCAGCAAATAAACAATAAAATAGGCTATGACTAATCTTTTGTGGTGGTATGTGCAGCTCCAAAAAATACACGTCTAGAAGTTACTGAGTTGATTCTACAGTTCTCTTTCTAATCAATAAAACAATTACAGTATTATCCTCTGTGTATGGGATACTATAAACTAAGATTCAAACAATATTCATATCTGTAGGTATACTTTTATCAAAGTTTCTATAAAAAGCTTTATTAAGAAAAAGTATCAGTAAAGTTCAAGGATCCTAATCTGTTTCTCCACCTACTCTACAAACACTTCTTCATCCCTATTCATTAAAAGGACTCCAGGAAATAAATTCAATTACATTTACCTATGAAGACTGGCTACGAAAAAAATTAATACCCATCCAGTACTCAGTCAAGGCTGCAAATAAACGACATTATAATCCAAGAGAAAAAACTAGGAGGAACAATTTCCAAAGGTAATGATTAGAAAGACCAGATTAGAAAAGACACACCAGTTTACTAAAACTACCTATTAAATTAAGTTATTCAACCACACAAGGCCATTTGAAATTCTGTAAATGAATACATACTTAGAGTGCTGGAGCTTGTCTTCTATTAGGGGAAGAACAGCTGGAATCATTTCCCGTGGAAAGATCTGGCTGACAACAGTTAATGCCATGCAGACCTCTACTAGATTAGTGCTCTGTAAGTCCTGAAATAAGACAGTAATTTTTTACTCAGACTTTTCAATTCCACACAGACATACCCCAAATCTTTCCCAAGCAGGCTGGATCTAGCCCACCTACACAGCCCAGCCACTGCCAGCATACTGCTGTCTGTTCATGTTTGAGATGTGTCAGCTCCCACTGAGCTCATCAGGTTCTCTCCTTCTCTTATGCAGCAAGAAGGAACAGGCATCTCCTCACACTGGTGTTTCAGAGATGTGTACATTTAAAATATCAACGTAGCATTAACACATGGAGCTACAATCAATTTTTGTTTACTCAAATAGTTGGATGATTGCAAAAATATATTGAGCCCCCAGCTGGATCAGGGGGATGAGTCACTCACAGAATTCAACAGTATTCTCTCTAGTGCCTTTGACTGAGCCAAAAGAATTAAAAAAAGAAACAAGTAAGCTCAATAGTACTGCCAATTACGTATTTGTACACTAAAATACTACCTACTCCCTAAGAAGCAAATGCAAATTACATGTAGCATTCTACTAAAGAATAAAAACTCAATCTGTTCCAAATACAATTAAAACTAGTAGATATAGCTCACTGTAACCTTAAACCAAAAAAGGATGGATGAATTAAGGAAACGCAAGACTACAATTATTTTTCAAAACAAATTAAATATGTAAGATTTCCAGTGATATAACTTGCTCTGTCAATTTGCCCCAGATAGGTTTTAGTCCTCATTTTGGTTTAATTCTTTGTGGACTCTCATTTTTTACCTTTTTCTACACACTTAGGAGTTTCAAGTCATATTTTTAAATATTATAAAACAGTTTTCAATCACAGCAACAAAATGAGCATCACTTTCAATCTATAATTTATCTGACTTTGGCCTACTGCAATATAAAAGTAACCATTACACAGAAGAGTTGTAATATAAGTCTTAACTGCTCCATGTAAGAGAAAGTAATACAGAAGACAACACCTATGAAATATTATTAGATAATAGATTGTCAGTGTCAAACTCCAGAGCATATTTCCATTTTCTGTCAAAGTTATCATAAGAATTCAAAGAAGGCAAGAGGTACTTGCCATCACCTAAAAGCAAAAGCTGACATTGCAGTATGCATGCATGGTTCCTCCTGGAGTTGAGGTACATAGTTGGTACATTTTTATAAAGGCAAGTTTATAGCATATCTCCTTTGAAAAAAATTTAAAACATGGCTTTGACAGCAGGAATGCCAAGATTAAATTAAAAAGACAGGAAAAGCCATTTCAAGTTTTCATTGCTAACCAAAGAAACAGCAACTTAAGAGAGGAAGATATAACTAATTAGTACATAACTTAGATATTGTATAACAAAACAGGAAGAATTGGTCCAAGTTTAATTTACAGAACCACAGAATTGTTTAGGTTGGAAAAGACCTTTAAGACCATCAAGTCCAACCTTCAACTCTGCTCTGCCAAGTCCATCATGTCCTTAAGGCCACATCTACATGTCTTTTAAATCCCTTCAGAGATGGTCACTCCACCACTGCCCTGAGCAGCCTGTTCCCATGTTTGACAACCCTTTCAGTGAAGAAGTTTTTCCTAATATCCAATCTAAACCTTCCCGGTGCAACTTGCCGTCATTTCCTCACCCTGTTGTTTATTACCTGGGAGAAGAGACCAACCCCTCTGAGCCTCCTTTTCTCCAGGCTGAGCCCCCTCAGCTGCTTCTTATCACAGTCGTGCTCTAGAGTACTTGCACCAGCTCCTCCAGTCCCCTGGGTGGATCCCACCCATCCCACAGATGTGTGTGTGTCTCAGGGGTGTAGCAGCTTGCTGACCATTTCCCCTTGGATTCATTCTGCTCCTGTCCTCCAGCTCAGGGACTGGGTACCCACAGAACTGGTCTTACCAACAGAGACGGAGGCAAACAAGGCTTTAAGTACCTCAGCCTTTTCCTCATCCTCTCTTACTATGTAGTCCTCCCCTTCTTCCAAAGGTTGTAAACTCTCTTTTTTTCCCCCCTCAGTTCCAGATAAGGCCCTTTGTTCAACCAGATCTTCTTCCCTACCAGCTCATCTCTTGGCACATGGGAACGGCCTGTCCTGTGCCTTTAAGATTTTCCTTCTTTTTTTACCTCCAAAACCACTGTACCTTCACAACTGTGTTCACAAGTAGAAGCAGCAGTTCGTGATTTTCATGTAGAAATAGAGAAACTGCCAAGTAGCCTATAAAAGAAAGCAGCCTCCATTACTATTTTCAAGCAATAAGCAAACTGAAGATAGAAAACTTAAGACTGTAATATAAGAGTTAAATAACTATAAAAACCCAACAAAAAAAACCCAGCTGGATGACAGTTGCCCATTTTTAAATACCAAGACTTTCTTTTATTTCCAGGCAAACCAGTTATATTCAAGTTGCAGTAAAGCTCAACAACTAACAGCTAAGAATTCCTAAGTTGTGAAAAGTAAGAGACATAATGATAGTGTTATATCCAAAGAGCAGTCAAGATCATCATGAGAAATCACTTCCTGGAAAACCAGTATCTTCTCTGAACAGAGAGGTCTGAACAGAGAGGACTAGGCAGCTGAATAAGCAACTGCAAGGAAATTCTCCAATGAGACAGGCTGAAAGGTCCCTCAAATTAAATCTATTGGAAACAAGTTAACAGCCACACTGGTAGGCAAGGAAATCCCAGTGGCATGGAATTTCAAAGAAATCTGAACTAAACTTTCAGATTTCCTCAGGAACTTCTGCCCCTATGCTATAAGGATCTCCCTATTTGCTTCATTCCCTACAACTGTTTCCAAAGTAAAAAAAAAAAATAATAAAAAAATAATCCTACAAGCACCAAAACAGAAAATGTGTCTGACAGATGACCGACATCACCATCTTTATCTAATCTTGTACCATAGTACTTGAAAAAAACCCCAGAGCTTGAGAGAAATTAATTCTCTGTTTGATATGTTTAACAAACATTCTCTTAAATTATTTGTTTACTGGTGCCGCAATTCAACACAATGAATTTTATTTTAAATCATCACAATTTCATTTCCCCTGCCTTCTGTGCTTCAAGCACATACAAAGCATCACACAAACTAAGGATTCAGCTAATTTCAAAGATTAAGAGACCATGAAATAAGATCAAGAACGCAGAGGAACATTTTAAGTAAGTTGTATTTTTAGATGGATTATAAATCCTGAGAAACTTCAAAAACAGAATTTGAGAACGTTATTAAGGCTACAGCTCCATGCACATACCAACTCTCTTCTCCAAAAGATTTCCTTGCTGTGCAAGCTTGATTGCATGGATATATCCAAAGGAAGACTCGTACCCCAGCATTTCACAGTAGATGAGTCTCACCATACATTCTTTCATCAGTTTCTGAAATAGCAAATATAAATTATTGAGAATTTTAAGTCAGTCATGTTTTATACTCTTCGTCAGTGCTCTAATGAAGCAGAGAACTGTATCTGACAGAAACATATCTCCACTCACATATGTTTTCTAAAATCAGGGTATTTGTGATTTTTCTTTGCTATGAATCTCTTCTGAAAAATCGATATTAATTTCTGCTATAAAGGCAGAACTTCCCATATATGACCCTTAAAAAATTCTTATTTTGATTAGCATGCATCAACAGTACATTAACTATGACCAACATAAAGAATATGAATAACCAGAAGCGTTCAGATGATTACACTGTTAACACAAATTATTTTTCACCAAGTGCTACTCTGACCCAGGATGGTTTCTCACTATGCATAGATAAAACCTGATTTTTTTCCCCTAAAAAAAGTCTCCTGTATGGGACTGAGACAAGCATTAACTACCTCAAATCACAATATATCATCTCCCAAAACTCAGACACAATAACAGTGCATACAACAAAGCACAGCTTCTTACAGAGCACAAAACTAATTATAAGAACAATGTAAGCCTGCAAAGAACATGATTTGATGGAAGCAGTTCATCTGCTTTGTTTCAGAAACTACAGAACGACAGATTCTCAGTGCCATACTGTTACAGTTTATTCACATCAAGCAGAATCACAGTGTTATCACTATTTTAAATGTGCTGCAAAACCACACATATCAGTATCTTTTAATGCTGCTGATTAAAGACCTATAATGCAGATAACCTGCACATCCATCTAGAAAAAAGAGTGAGAACACTGCTGTACTTCACCTTTGGTGTGCTGTTCCCATAGCCTGTAATAACCACTAACAGAACTTACAAGTGTTGTGGTGGGGGCTGAAACTGTTGCTTTCAAACTGGTTAGTTCCTGCTGGATCAATTTTTCTTCTTCCTAGAATAGAGAGATCAAACCTCGCATACATTTCGTAGGTAACAAGAACCACAGAAGATGTGTTAATTTAAGTGTCCCACACCCTTCCCAAAGCAGCGGGTGCCTCGCTCAGGGGCTGCTCAAGCACAGCAGTGTGGCCGTGCCTGCCCGCTCCGTGCCCCCAGAGCAGACACAACGCGGCACGGCAAAGACTTATCGCGGGGTCCCGAGCTCAGCCAGACCCAGGTCGAGGGGAGATACCGTGCCCAGGGCCCCCAGCCCAGCCCAGCCCAGCCCACGCGCCGCTCCCCGGGCAGGAGCGGAGCCGGCCCCCGCACCCGTTTTACGTGCTTGGAGCGTGAGCGCCGTGATGCTCCGGATGAGGCTGCCGAGCCGGGAGGTGGCCGACACCTGGCGGGGCGCCTGCGCCGCCCGGGCCGGTGCCGGGGTCGTGCTGCCCCAGCAGCCCGGCAGGGCGCTCAGAGTCCGCTCCCCACGTCGCTCATTGCGCCGGACACCCCCGGGAAGAGCGGCCCCGGGCCCTTTCCGGGCGGGCCGGCGGGCGGGAGGCGGCGCCGCGCCCTGAGGGCGGGGGATCCGGGCCGGCCCTCGGTCCCGCGCACGCCCCGGCCGGGCGGGAGGTGGAGCTGCAGCCCCGCGTCGGAGCGGGCTTCGGGGGCGCCGCCGGGTGTGCCGGGCACGGAGCCATCGCCGCCGGAGCTCCTGCTGGCAGCATCGCGGAACAAAGACATTTAAGGGTGGGTTTCGAAAGAGCAGAGTGTAACAGCTTATCACAGAATCAATGAGCGTGGAAAAGGCCTCTGAGATCATCGAGTCCAATCTGTGACCGACCACCACCGTGTCAATTAGGCCATGGCACCAAGTGCCACATCCAGTCTTTTCTTAAACCCCTCCAGGGACGGTGCCTCCACCACCTCCCCGAGCACCCCGTTCCAATATCTAATCACCCTCTGTGTGAAGAAATTCTTCCTAGTGTCCAACCTAAACCTCCTAAATAGGACAAATATTATTCTTAAAGTGAGGGTGGGAACACTGAGAAGTCGGTCTTGCCCGAGAGGCTCCCAGTGGGCTATTCCTGGGGTGATTCCCACTCCCCCGCCTGCAGTTTGGCCTCTTGGGAAGGTTTTCACCAGGGAGCTTCTGGGAACTGCCTCTGCATTTGCTGCTCTTGCAAATGAAACAAAGGATCTCTTACCTACAAACAGTAATGTTCAAGATTACAGGGGTTTCTGGCTCTCTAGATACCATTTTTGCCATTGTCAGTTTTATGGCACCGTAGCTGAACAGGAGAAGTTGCTGATGCTAAATGAACAGAAGCCTTGTTACTTTTGGTCATTTGGTATCCAGAGAAGTGATTTCAATAAATTGAAAAACCTCCTCCTTTCTTTGTCAGACAGTCACCTCCCAGCTCTGCTCTGACACAGTGACGTGCCCTCTGGTCCGTAGCTGCTGCAGGACTGTGGCTGGGATGGAACTGGGCATTCACTGGCAAAGCAAGGAAATGAACATGTGAAAGAAGGATGACCAATAACTTCCGTAGATACTTCACACAAGGGAAAAAGTGCCTCTAACCCATTCATGTTTACCTGATCTGTTGGGATATGCCTTTCCAAATATGTGTAGTGAAATATTCAGCCTGTTGCAAAAAGATATGTTCAGATAGTCTCTGCTGTATTTTCTAACAGAATTGGTTTTCTCTCACCGTTTTTCTTGTGAACAAGGGGAAAGCACAGTGCCACTTAAATATGTGCGTCAGTCGTCCCACCAAAGACATCAGACTAAAATAACACTGTATCTATAGAGTTTTGTGTGCTTAATTCCATTTTGGCAACCCACATATGCCTTTTCCAGTTACATATACTTTTCTGAAACAAAATTAGTTGACATTTTCTGGTTTGTCTTTCAGTTCAAAGGTGGGGGGGGGTTCTAGAGAAGGTGGGGAAGAAACTGAAGTAATCCCTTCTAACTATGTGTTTCCAAGGAAAAAGTATCCCTCCATATCCAACATATGTCTGGCCAGAAAATCATGCTGACAATCAGAATTGTAAATTGGTTTATTATCAGAAAAAAAGCCAAAGAGGAACAAACTGAGGTCAGTAGGTTTAAAATCATGAAAAGTTGGTGTTTCCTTGAAGCTAAGGTGAAAGATTTGGACTGGTATCTTTTAAAGTTCATTTTATGAAGTGAATTGGCTAAGAATATCTCAGTTAAGAACTGTTCATGTAAAAACATCATATTATGTTGTAGAAGCCTGAAAAGCTTGTAAGCTTTGCAGACCAAAAATGTAAGTTTGATAAGCACTGGAAAAGCTGCTGGTAAAGCTGATGGAACTTGAATAAATGCTCAAAACCCCCTGGCTTTGACTTTTTTCATTATTTTTATCGATTCTAGGGTCGTTAAGTCCTTCTTTTTGCCTTAAGTGTTGTAAAAATAAATGCTGCATGTAAAATGACTTGTAGAGCACAAACCCTCAGGCTTCTACGTGGTTAATTTCTCATGCTGTTGATGAGTGCATTGAAATCAAGAGGACTATTCCTACTCCGCACATATGTGCAAAATACATGAGTTATTGTCAGATGATTATAGATACACCTAATGCCTTGCATAAAGATCACCAGTAAACTTTCCAACATTTTTTTCCTTTTAAATACTAGATTATTTAGTATATAATTTACATAAAAGGAGATAAACTGAGATAAGGTAGAAAAAGGCAAATCCACAAAAGTAAGGAATATCTACCACATAGGCATAAACTTGGCAAGGTAGATTGTTGGCTTGTTTGTTTTTTTCCTGCTTTCATCTGCCTACTGTTTTCATCAGCTAGATGAAAAACCTTGAAGTGTGGTTATAAAACAACTGCAAAAATAGCACTGAAAGGCTGATTTTCAGTTATATCTCTAGGCTTGATATCAATTGCTCTCACCCCAGTAAGAAACATTCTAATTGTCATTCCTGCAAGTTCTCCTTGGCATCTGATAGGCAAGTGGTACTCTTTCTGGCTCATGAATCATCATTGCAAGTAAATAGTTCTAGAATAGAAAATAGGTTGATTGTGTATGAGCCAAAATAGAATCCAAAATAGAAGAGCTTATGCTCTGCACCGCGTTGTCTCTGTGCTGGGCAGAGGAGTGTGTAGTAGTAGATGATAGAAATGATGCCAAATGAAAACAGATGTAACGAGAAACAAAGACAGCACTTTTACCCATTTTTTTCTCTGATGATTAAACCTATTTTGTCATATTTAGCAGAGATTATGTGTTATCTGTCACATGTCACACAAGCTCGCCAGGGCACTAGCGAGGAGCTCAGAGTGCCAGAGCAGAGCGGGGCAGGGCAGGTGTGCTCTGTGCTCACAGCTGTGTCTGTGAGTGCGTTGCCTCTCCGTGTTCTCCATGAACAGGAAAAGGGGTCATGTCCAAGGTTTTAGTGATGGTGTTGCCGGTTTCCAATTCTCTTCTCTCCCCACCATCTGTCCAAGCCCTTACAGAGTCCTTCTGCATCACTCCTTGTTAGAGAGGCTTGGCAACGCAGGAGCTGATTTAGTGCTAAGGAAATAAACTATGGATCTGGGAAATAGCATGGAAAAGATTTCACAGAAATAGAAACATTTATCACATAAACAGAAGTATATCCTGCAAAACAAACACATTTGAACACAATAAGATGTATCATTACACAAAAAGCCATATGGAGACATATCACATAAACAGGTGTATTTTTGACCTGCACCTTCTTTGTGCATGAGAGTATCCAATGAGAGTTCCTTTTCTGATCTCATGGCTTTACAGCTACCTTGATTCCAGCAAGGTTAAAATACATTTATTGCTTCTGTATTGTACAGAACTTTGGTCCAAATGACTAAATGGGCAGAGTCTTAGCAATGGATGTACATTTACAATGCATTGTGGGAAGTGTTTGAGTGGAATAGAAGTAAATACCAGGAAAGGTAAATGGAGAGAAAGTACACATTTTTGTAGCATTGATAACATTGAACAGGCAATGAACCATTGAATCAATACCAAAATGGGACAGGATATAAAGCCACATTGAAGTAAGAATTGATCTTTTCATTTGTCTATATCAGCAGTATCCTGTAGTTTTGAATTCCTGTTGCTGTAGATACACATCTGCTAAAGATGGCAGGGGAAAAGGTTACCCTATGCTTCCTTGTAGAAGCTGCCCATCTTCTGTGCTTCTAAGGTGAGGGAAGGTTTTGGTTAGTATAATAGTTTTCCTTGTAAGTTACCAAACAAGCTATTTTTTTCTTATGTACAAAACAATGCTTGAAATGTTTTTATGCAAAATACCCTGTAATTCCTAACTCTGGTTCAGCTCCAAGAATGATAGGTAAGGATTCTGGGGTTATCAGTACATTTCTGAGAGTTATTTTCATTGCTCTGGATCTGTGGAAGACTAATTTATAGAAGTGAGTCTGATGTAAGGTAGAGCACTATTTCATCTAAATTATATGCAAAGGCTTGACTATGAAATAGCGGTTGCTAACAGGGGAAAAAAATGCAATCTTTTTAGTGCTTGTGGTCCAGTTAATTATCATTCTACTACTTTTTTGTGTGTTCTCCACAGTTTATACTACAGTAATATTATATATTGATAAGGGATTGAACAGTTCCACTGTGTTCCTGGCTCTCAGTTGTGAAATCTCTGATCCTTTCCATCTCTTCAGAGTGTTTAGCCATTTTTTTGACAGTTAGCAAGCACTGAGATTTCTAGTATTAAAGTGTTTTCATCTGCCCACTGCAGGTATGCATTTGTGACTACAAAACCATGAGGTCTTTTCTGAAGAAAAACCACCGTGATTTATTTTGGAAGCAGGCCCTGTAGTTCTGAAGAGCTACCACTGCGATCCTTTGTTCTGCCGTGAAACGGCAAAAATGTCTTCCCCCGAGCTCTAGGGATTTGCTGGTGTTCTGTGCCTGCAAGGGCTAAACTTTAACATTGAAAACGTTGAGAATTATTGTCTTTTAATGATGCTTATCGTCATTTGCGCGACTGCCTTTTTTTAACCCTAAATTTTAAAAGAGCGAGACGTGCTATGATTAAACTTGTGATGTCCTCTCTTTGTAGTGAAAAGCAGATGATGATGAAGACTGATGACGGTGCCTTTGCTGGAAAGGGATGAAATAGATGGAAGTGATTCACAGGCCTCCCCTGAAGGGACGAATTCCACCCCTCCGGCTCCAAGCGCGGTGCAGCGCAGCCCTTGGGGGCTGATGGCGCTGCCGGGGGTGGGTTCGCGCCGGGTGGATTGTACCTGCAGCCCGTGGCGCAGCCCTTCCCGGAGCTCCTGGCCTGGCCCCTCTCCGCTTGCACACCCCGTTTGCCCCCACAGGCACCGGTGCCCCACAGCCCCTATCTATAGGTTGCCCCACGGACCCCAACTCCCCCTTTAAGGCTCATATCTGAACCCTAATTAGTCCGTCAAAGCGGTGCCCCACAGCCCCCGGCCCCCTGCCCGCCCCGGCGCGGGAAAAGGCTCAGGCCGCGGAGCCGCGCCATTGCTCCGCGCCCGCCCGCCCCGTCTCCTCCCCGCAGCCCCTGGGGCCGGCGGCTGGGCGGGCTCGACCATTTCTGCGGCGGGGGACGGCGGGGCCGAGCCCGGCAGCGCCTTCCCGAAGCTTCAGCACCGCGGGCCGGACAGCGCTCCGAGACGGCTCCCGCGAGGCCCCGCTCAGGGCCTCGATCCCCGCACGAGTTCCGTGGCGGTCGCGCGCTGCAAGGTGCTGTTCGCTTGCTGGCGAGCCCGCTCACGGCTTCCCAGACCGCGGGCAAAGGTAAGCGCCTGCCCCTCAGAGCCCTCTCCGCGGGTCCGCGGGTGCGGGACGTTCTGCGGGTGCGGGAAGTTCTGTGGGATGTAGAGGGAGAGGAGAGAAAACTTTCCTTCCACTCGGCGAAAAGCGATGAGGTCCTAAAGCGACAAAATTCCCGACGCTGATCGCTGAAGTTGCAATCTGATATTAAAGTGAAGGGATAGTTGCTGGTAGAGGGAAGAGCTCTGAATTTTTTCAGTCTTCTCCAAGCAGTGTTTTCATCCGTTCTACTGCGGCGTCTGCACGAGTCTTTCTTGCTCCCTGTCTCCCCCGCTATTCTGGATGGAAGAGATTTTTAATCTCTTGGTTGTGGCAATCCGATTATTGCTATTTTAGTCTATCTCTTCCAGGATTTTTCCCCAATTTGTGAGTTTTCTCATCAGAAAGAGGTTGCTGAGTCTGTATCTCTATATCTTGTGCAGAACCTCTTCCTCTGCCCCAATCATGGTTTATTTAAATGTTTGACTTTTTAATTGTGTTCTCGTTCTTCTAGGAACACTAATTTTTTTTTTTTTCAAGAACCAACAGTTGACATCCTATTTAAGACACTGTTTTTCGTGGGAGAAAACTATAAATTAAGAAAAAATGTGCCTTTTGTAGTTGCATGTATCATATAACTGAGTATATACGTGTGTGTGTTTATTCTAGATAAAGCTATACACAACAGACAATTAAGTGTAGAAAGACCTTTGGAGGAACAGGTGAGTGAAAGAAAAAATATTTACAATGGGTTTTTTATTATGGTATTCTCATAATATTTTGAGCCTTTCAAGTACCAAATCCCTGAATATCCCTGAGTTAAAAGTAGATATGTCAGTAAAGTGATTATTTATGGTGTTGAATACAAAATATAGTTTCAATAATTTTTTAAAACTGGAATATGGAGTTTCTCTGTCCAGCATTCCAAAAGCAGGTTGTTAGCTCCGACAGCTCACAGGTGTGCCACCCCTTTGTATTGACATCCTGGGGGAATATAGCATGAGCTTGGAATGAAGAAGGAAAATGTAACTGGCATTTGTCTTAAAATGGGAAGTTTGTTGCAGCTTCTTGTAGTGTGTGATTCTGATCAGAGATAGGGGGTACTGACAGAAAGTGCCAAGTGCTTAATCCTGTTCTACTTATTCAGGCAAACTTCTTAATAAGAGTGAAAACCAGACACTAAGGCTTCTGCTGGTATTGATAAATTAAGAGATCACGCATTTTATTCCTTCTGCCTGTTCTTGTTTTATTTGTTTTATTTTTCTGTATTAGATTGCTGAAGCTGAGGCAGATAGGAATAGGAAAACAGCTCCCACAGGTAAAATATCTTTCCTGGTTTTATAGCAATATTCGTAATGGTATTCAAAGAGGTATAAGGTTTTATGTTATGTGTGCATTGATATATTTTCCAGAAAATAAGCCAGAGTTCAGGAATTATTCCTTTGTTGATGACCTGAACCTGCTAAAATCAGTAGCAGAAAGAGAGAGGAATGAAAAGGAGAGGGAGTCAATTAGAAGCTCTTTGTACGAACAGCAGCTGGCCGTTGACGATGCAGACTCCACCAAGAACCGCAGGCTGGTGGATGACTATGACTCCACTAAAAGTGGACTGGATTATAAATTCCAAGGTATTCTATAATCATCTTTCAGTGACTTCTAGGTTAGATTTCTCTTGCAAAGTGACTGCTGTCATGAATGTTGTACTCAGCATCAAACATGAGCTTTATGTGTTACTGGAGTGCAGATTCAATTATTTCCAGTTGTGGAAGCTTGTTGTATTACAATTAGGGTTTTTTGAAATGCAGTACAAAACAATTGCTGTTGATTTTCAGTCTTCTTCCTTGGAGGAAAATCTAACTGTGTAATTTGTATTATGTGTTTTAGTAATTTAGATTTGATGGAAGGAAAATGGGACATATTTTTAAATGAAAATACATTTATTCTGGTTTGAGAGGAAGAAGCACCTTTACATGCACCTAAATCACATATATTTATTCCAAATGTTATGTGCAGTGTTAGATTATTCTCCTCATCATAAAGCTAAAAGAAATTACCAAAGGCAAAACAATACTTGCCTTTGCTACAGGAGTGTTTAATTGATTTGTAGTTTAAGTGAGTCCTCTGAGAGTTGTAAGCAGCATTTAACTCAGGATATTTTTAATTATATCAAAGTATCCTGATCACAGATCAAAGCTTACTCATCATGTTCTCTCCCATTGTCATTATGATATTATTTGCCATAAGTCATGATTACAAAATTAAAAGTTTATTTTCTGAAATTCAAACAAGAAGATCATGTACAGTTTGTCATGATATGATTTCATCTAAGTAGCCATACAATGAAATTAGATACCAGGAAGGCACATATAAGTATATATGGGAACAGTGCTCTCTCATTCTTACAATTTCTTCTATAAACAGGAGAGTATGCTCCTAATATTCATCTCTGCTCTTTTGACAGAGTCAGTCAGAAAGATATTTTTCAGATGTGGAAAATGGACACAAAGAACTTTTCACTGTGACTGATGTAGTGGCTTGCAAAGTGTGTATCAAAGTATAGTCCTAGTGTGTCTAAAAGGTGCAGCTTTGTTCTGAAGAGAAGAAGATGTGGGCAGATATTTTTACAAGATGTTTAATCCAAATGAGTTAGGACAGTCAGCACACAGTTAAACTATAATCCTTTCAGATGATCCAGATGGCCTCCATCAATTAGATGGCACTCCTCTGACTGCTGAAGACATTGTTCAAAAAATTGCTGCAAGAATTTATGAGGAAAATGACAGAGGAGTGTTTGACAAGATTGTTTCAAAACTTCTAAATCTGGGGCTAGTAAGTATCTTGTTAATACTTCATTTAACAGTTTTGTGGGTTGGTTTAATGCTCTTTTAAAAAACAATTTGGACAAACATCGTGTGTAATACTGACTTGAGTGAAAATGAATGGGATTCAGGCTCTAGGAAAATTTCTGTATTCATTTGGGCACACTGGTTTAGTTCTGCAATAACATTGTTGTTCCTGTGATGGCTTTGCAACAAAATAGGCCAAACTGCAGAATGTTTCTGATGCTGAGAAAACATTCACTGATTGTACTCCTCCCATGTCTGCCCTCATTTTTACTTTAAGTTCTCTTCCGATTTTCACTGAATTCTTTTGTATTATTAATTTCTATATTTAAGGGGGAAAGGTCTGACCTCATTCCTATCCACCTACTTAGTGTCATAAGCAAACATATAATGTTGCTGGTTTGTTGAGGATATATTATGTTACTGATTTTTAGCAAGACTGGATTTGTCTCTGACCTCTGGATGTCTCAATAGGTTTAGCCATGGCCATATGGGATTCTTGTATCTTAAAATATTGACCTGATGTTTTCTGCACTAGATTTTGCAGTTAGCTATTGCATGCTGCACCCCACTGATTACAGAGGGAGCTGTGGGCCAGATGCATGATAGAGTTCTTTTTCAAGTGACAGCTGTTACAAAGCAAAGACAAAACATTTTGATGATGCCATAGATGATGCCATGCTTTTTTCCCCTTCTATATCACTGTATGTAGATGTGTTGCAGAACATACTTTATATACACCTACATGTACACACATGCAGGGAGGTATGACACACTTGCAGTTCAATCTTTCAAGCTTCACTCCATTGTGTTAAGCCCTAAACAGATTTGTTTTCCTGTTGAAGGCTGTATCTGTGGATGAGTGGGTTTTATGTACACACAACGTATTTGGTGTGTGTTTCTGTGTGTGTATATATGTATGTGTGGGTGTGTTTATATAAATATAGACATGTGTATATGTCTATATATATACATGTATACACACACATTGGTGAAGATACCACGCCTAATTTGGTTGTGCTTTTTGTGAAGCAAACATATTTAAAGCAATCTATTTGCAAAGCTCGGGTTTCATATTGATGTTTCATCCAGGAGAAGCACAATATTCTATGAGTACTCTGCACAAATATTTCAACAGATCACAGAGAGTCAGGCCTATACCCTGGAGGATGAAGTGGCAGAGGTTTTACAACAGCTAATTGCAAATGAAGCAAAGGAACGTGAGAAGGAGTCTGAAGACTTTGATTACACTGCAAGCAGAGCAGACAGTGATCCAAAGGAAAAGCAACAGGAAAGAATGGTAATTTCTTAGCTAATGATTTTGTCTTCCTTGCCAAATGGTACTAGTAAACCAATATACTGCTTTCTTTGGGGAATAATTAGTTCAATCTGGAAACTAAAGGTGTTCTTAAAGAAATTGTTAGACACAAAATGAACCATGCGTTACTTTGGAGTTTAAGCCAAATGTCAAATTGAAATAACTTTGAGAAAATAGTATAGTCTTCACCTTGCAATTAGGAACATGTTGGCATAAGGTTCTGATACAATTTCTTGCTCTAGTAACTCTCTCACCAAAAGCAATGTGCTTATAGATATCTTTTTTTATATCTTTTGTGGAGACACCAAGCAAATCTTATCAGGATAGTATCATTAATGGAGAGATTGATGATACACTGGATAACACATGGTCATCATCTAATATCTTGGAAAGAAGAAATGAGCTGCCTTCTGAAGATAATTTTGAAGACCTCCAATACTTTCCAAATTTTTACGCACTATTAAAAAGTCTTAACTCAGGTGAGCTTATCATGTATTTACAGAATTATTTAGGAAAAAAGAAAATTAAGATTCTCTGTGTTTTCTCTTTTCCCTTCCCCACAACTTCCCTAGTTGCAAGACCACGTGCTTTGAAAATGTTCTCTAAGATGTGTAGCAGAAACTAATTTGATTAGTAATTTTGATGGCAAAACACTGGGAGGAACAGCACTCAGAACTGCAAAGAGTGTGACCTAGGCAGCCCTTCCCATCTTGTGCTGTGTGATTCAGGAGTCCTAAATTCTTTTCATTCCTGTAAGAACATGGTGAAAAACTGGCAAACTGTTTTCTCCAGAGATCATTCCAGTAACATCTGAGTCTTCCAAGCCAACAGAGGTACAAGTAAGCCACAGCAGAATCCTCGCAGTGATGGTACCAGTAAATGAGTCTGAGCCTTCCAGCCTTTTCACAAACCACAGGTTTGCTGTTTATTGCAGTGAAAGCTCTGCACGTCTCTTCCTATTCCGGTGCTGGGCATCACTGCCTTCCAGTCATTGCAGGCAGGACTGTGGCACCTCACCACAGCCCCTTTGTCAGCACCCACTCTGCAGCCACGCTCACACACACACACACTTATTTTTGTGTGTATGTGTGTTTGTTCTGTGGATTCCCTGTCCTGCAGGAGCCTTCAAACTGTCCCCATAAACACCTGAGTGGAGAGCTAAAATGAAAAACCCGAGGGCATATTTTGCTCAAGTCCAACCTACAGACTTCATATTCTTCCTGTTCTTTTCATTTTCCCATGGTGGTTTTGCATGCTAGCTCTTCTCCTTTTTCTGCTCACAAAGCAGAAAGGCATGTTGGGTTTAGCAGGTTGTCAAGCAAATCGAGCCAGGTCCCACTGGCTGCACATCCCTGCCTTGCCTCCTGCTTTGTGCTGTTCACCTGTCAGGTCGTATCAAGCTGGAGGAGAGGGATTCACTTGCATCCTACAGCTGTGTGTTAAATTGCAGGCAGCAATAAAAAGCCTGTTCAGCAGCTCTCAGAGTGGCTGGCCCTCTGCCAAGGCTGGGAGTGTGTTTCTGGCCGTCCCAGACTGACAGTGCCCCTAGCTCTGTTAGGTCCTTCTGTGATAACCTGGGGAGTGGGGATGGCTTTTGCAACTGGGGCAGTTTCATGCTGCTAATGCAGAAATAGCAGTAAAATTGTTCAGCTAAACAAAGGTATTGTTCAGGTAAACACAGCGGTGAAAGAAAAGCTAAGAAGGTAAGCATGGGCAAGAATAGATTTTTATAATAAAAAATAATTGTTTGTATCACTTCCTGAGGTCATGATCCTGTCAACCATGTAATATTACGTTGTCCCAGTACATGAGTCATGGACTTGTGCGTGGTAACAATCTCATTTGAAACACTTTATATTTTTATCATCGAACCCATGGGTCTTGTAGGAGAAAGGAACTCTGAACTCATACAGAGCCAGACTGCTCTACAAAATAGTTCACAAACAAATAAAAGAAAGATAAAAGAAACTGTAGAAAACTCTACCCTCTGATCAGCAATTTGGACTGTCAGGTCACTTCATCTCAGTGTGTTTAGTGTTCTTAGCTGTAAAATGGAATGACACAGCCCTTCAAGACACAAAGCTGTAAAGAAGAACTAAAGCCTGAAGCTTTAAAGTATATTCAGCTGTGTTTTGCAGGAACAGTTTATATGTAAGTTCTCTTTGCTGATCCAGCACAGCATTTTCTCTTTCAGTGAGTAGGTCATTCTTTATGCAGAAAGTTTGCACAGTTTGCAGAACTGAGTTTTCCCAAGTTGCCTGAAGTCTCTGACTAATTTTGCTTCATCCCCTCACACAGAGACAGAGACAAAAGAGAAGGAGACCTTGATAACTATCATGAAAACCCTGATTGATTTTGTGAAGATGATGGTTAAATATGGAACAATCACACCAGAAGAAGGAGTTTCATATCTGGGTGAGAATGCTGTTTTCTTACTCTAACAACAGTGATAACTATCTTCTCATCTTCCTTGCTCTTATAAAACCTGCTTCAGCTTTGTTCATTCTAAATGTTTTAAAGCTGTACTTCTAAATGATTGATTATTCACTATAGTGTGTTTAATTCCATACTGCTTTAATACTTCCATCTAATGAAGGGAAGGTAATTTATGAGATATGCATTTAGAGAATTATTGCATTTTCACACCTGTGAAGCACAATTGATTTCAAGGACTTTATGTCAGGGTAAGATCAGGGTTTTCTGTGTTCTGTTGAGGTGAATCAGGCACCTGCATTTTCTAAAGACAATCTAGCACTTCAGCTCCTGTAACCTGTCACATGTAAGTAGCCAGAATAGATGGCACCTAATGCTATGGTTGTCTACTAAGTAAAACTCCTTCCATCTATGAAAAGTGCTACATTTTGGCACAGGAGTAGATTTTGAAGCACTCTTTCCTGGATCCATTTTAGAGTCTGTGGCTATGTAGGTATTGTAAAATCATTGTAATTTCCTGAAGAGAGAATTTGGAACAGCCTGGTTTTGTTCTTGTTTTGTTTTGTTTTGTGTCTCACACACCTTTCCTGGCTTTGACAAACTCTCCTCCATTTACTGTTGGTAGCCTTTCTGTGTAAATAAGCAGACCTACAGAAGAAGGGCTCATCTGCATAAACTCTGCACAATCCTTTCATTTTTCTGAAGTGTTCCTGGTCTGGCTTAGTCTGAAAAGTTTTTGTTTACATCAGGGCAATTTCTCAGCTTCATAGATCAACCTGTCACAGAGATAGAACTGGCAATGATCTTTCATGGCTTCTCCAGGCTTGTCTGATCTGAGCCATTGCAGATACATGATTGATGGATGCAACTGTAACTGTACAGATTGATTATCACTCACTTGGCTACAAAAGATCCAGTGCATCATGACTCACATTCAGTACATGATTGCACTTCCTCTCCAAAGAATTATATCTCTGACCAAGACTATCCTTTTATTTTCCATGAGAAGTCCTTGAATTTTGGAATATTTGGACAAGTTATGCTACAGTTCAGCTCTTTATTTCTCTGTCTTCCTGTGCATTTAAAGAAAGATGCACATAAAGAAATGGTGGATTTTAAGCACATTTTTTTTTGTGTCATTCTACAAATGAAGATGGTATGACTTGAGCAGATATTGCCCTCACTGATAGTGTTATGCCAAAACTTAATAGACCACATTCATCCCTGACACAAGGCCACTCAGATAATGGAATTACACTAGGGATGCATTTTTCCTACTAAAATTCAGAGCAGTTGTTCACATTGGCTTTACTTTGAGTAAATAAATACTGTAACCCTGGAAACAAATTGCCATGATGACATAGTACAGAAGGCAGGGATTAGGTTAAGAGTTTCAGAGGTCTGATTTAGTCTGGATTTAAAGTAAGACTATCAACTGATGTATCCAGACTCTGCCTTGCAAATAAGTGATTTATGCAGAGATGGATTTTTTGCTCCATCAAAGGAACTTACTGTAGTGGAAAAAGCTTTCTCATAGTTCTCAAGTTGCTTCTGTGGTATTCTTTTTTTAGACTTGCTGTTGAGAAATTACTTCAAAGCTGACCTTCATTTATTGAACTGATATTCTCAAATACTCAAGGAGAGCATCCACAGGAGCTTGTTAGCTTCTTGCACTATCCTTGAGCATGGCAGCAATTTTATTGCCACTCTTATTCAACTAAAAGTTATATACACTAAATAATACTTGGATATGTACTGCGTATCTTGGTGCAGGTTGGGTCAGGGAATTGATGCCCAGCTGTGTTTACTTATAGCAGATAAGGGAATTAGTATGAATATGTCTCAGACAGAAGAATTAATTTTAAAAATTGGTAGCTTTTTGTTGTTCTCTCAGTCCAAAACCAGTAAGCAGATTCCATGCTAGTTGATGGAAAATACCTACTGGGCCAATGCAGAAGGGTTATATCCTCTTTCCATTTTATTAAAGTAGGAAACTGCCTAAGTTAATTTTTCCCACTCTGTGTCTGAAGCCGTGCATAAGCTATGTCTGTGAATTATACATTCAAAAAAATAAATCATTTATTGAATCAAGTCACAAGCCTTTTTGCCTTTCACAGGGGTGCAGAGACAGTGAATTTGAATGCATATACCAGTAACAGCTGGCTTGGGATTTGGAAACCACAGCATTATGTCATCATTGTATCTTACTCCAGGGGAAAGTATTTTCCTGCTGCAGTGACTGATGTTATTAGGTTTAGCTTAAAGTTACAAAGGATCTAGCTGCAGTGTGGTGCAGGAAAAGTGCCGATGCACACACATGAAAACACAAGGAATAAGTTCATTTTTTAATACGCATATTCAATATTACATAATAGATATTTAGAAGCTTTCCATATGCTAATCTGTAATCTGTAACAGAACACTGGAAGCCAAAACCAACATATTCATATATATGAAAGACAAGGAAAAATAATGCCTACATTTCCCAGTATGTTTTCAGAAAGTATAACTCTGGAAGCATTAAAGAGGAACTCTAACGAGCTGATATAAAATGTGTGTTCAGCTGAAATGCGTCAAATTTGATAATTTCCCTGCTGTGGCAAAATGCCACTATCTTCCATCACTCTTTACTTTCTTAGCTATGAATGCTGTATCTTGATGTACAGGGAGCAAATTCTGCTGTGGAGTGAAAGTCTCATGTTTCTAGCCTGCTTAAAGGCTTTCTAGAAAACCCATCTACCCTTTGAAGATTGAAAGCTGCTTTAAAATCACTTTTGCAATTAAAAGAATGGACAAGCATTATCAGTACAGAAAGCATAAGGTTATTACCTTATGACTCAGGATCACAGTTACACAGGTGGCTTGTGAATGAGATCCAACTGTGGTATCAGTTTACCCAACTTTGGGTTTGTTGTCAGGATCCAGCAAATGCTGCCCAAACAAGCCCTTGCTTGTCCCAGCCTGCTGGATGCACAGACTGTTATCACTGAACAGGCTGAGTGTTGGGAAGGACTTGAGACAGCTACTGAAATGATGTGGCTGTTGGCAAGGGTGCAGTGACAGAGTGGAATGGAAGAGTTGGAATAACTCCACATAGTGACCAGCAGAAAGCAGCGAGAGGCTTTCAGATAAGTTATGACTGATTCAGCATAAAATGTTTCATTACTCATGGCATTCATATACTGTTTATGTTGCATAAATAGCTGATACTGATGCATAACTAGCGGATACTCCATGCAGAACTGAAAGGACTGTGTCCTTCACGGTGCTGAGTGTTTGAAGGGAAAAAGTGCTTTTTGAGCCAATAGCAAAGCTCACTTTGGTTTCAGCAGAGTGGAATAAGCCATGCATTGCACAGATACTTGTACTGTCTGAGTATTAGGTTGTGAATAATATCCTACCTCATTTTCCTTCTGTCTATTGTGTAATGTCATGGTGGAGATTCGCTCTGATAGCTTTTCTATCAGACCCATCTATCATAGACCAGATAAATATTAAGGAGAAGCTTCATCTACACCACACAAAGAAGAGGAATTTTTTGTGGGACAAGTGACTTTTCCTGTGTATGCCAGACTATATAGCTAGTTTTAAAATGAAAGTATATCAGTCCACTACCATCCTGGTAAAAGCTCTATTTTTAGTAATTATGTAAAGTAAACAATAGTTTTTTAATGCATTTATTTTAATAATATTGTTGTCAGCTTAGAAACAGGAACAAATGTTTTCTGCCAGTTTGTTCAGATACATTTGAAAATCTTTTCCACTAATAAGATTTTTAGAACCATTCTAGGAAATACTTGTCATTAGAGGCTTGTGGACCATAACAAAAATAGTTTTCAGAGATGATGGAAAAATTCTTAAGAGGCACCAGTGTGTGTATATGAATTCTTTTTACACAGTCCATTAATTACGTTCTCCTGCTGTGCTCTGCTTACAAGAGTAGATTAGTAGCAAATTTACCCACTGCCAACCCAACCAAATGAAAGTTGTGTTATCCAATGAACTATTACCTTAGAAATGCAAATTAGTTACATGCACATTGTAATGTTGTGTGGAGTTCTCATTTATTGACTAGTACATGTAGCACAAACTTTTGCCATCGGTACTTCTCTATCTCACAGATACCATAGAAATCTTTTCCATGATACTGCATAAAATGTGTAATTTATCACATCTTATGATTGAGTTTGGTCATTTTGTTTTCAGTTTCTAAATCAGGGCTTCTGTATCTTCCACAACTGGAGAAAAGAAAGGGACAAAGGGCTGGGAAGAAAATTAAGTTTAAGAACTCTGTAGCCTTGCTCTCTCTTGAAGGGGATCACACTTTTCACCTCCTTGTAGTAAAGCATTTAGATTCCTGGAGCCACAGTGTACCACACACAGCCCGCAGCAGACTGGCTGGGGAGCAAATCCCCCTTTATTTAGGAGGGAAACAGAGAAATGGCTCCAGCTGATCAGTGTGCAGTGTTTGAGTCACAACTGCCTTCCTCCATAGACCAAACCAAAGCCACCTCTCACACCTCCTCCCTTTGGCTCTGACTCACTGTCAGAATCCACACTGTCCCTTGTGACTGAGTAGGAGATTGTGTTGGTTAGAAATGAGCAAGAACAGATGTCTCTGTTTACCTTTTCCACCCCCATATCATTTGTTCTTCGTGGACAACAGGGAAGAAGAGCAAACTGCAGGGGACACAAGGAACAGGGAGATGGATGGGTCATTAGTGAACTCTGGCTGAGGTATATGAACACTCATTACTTTGGTCCTTTTCTAAAGAACTGTTGGGATATTGTTTTGCTATAATACTCTCTTTTAGGCAGACTGAGGCTGCATGAAAAAAGTCAGGTGAAACAGAAGAGGCAGAAAGTCTCCTATGTGGATTTTTAATATGTCCCTGCCTCTCCATGCTAAGGAATATGAAATAGCTGTTCTTCCTCTTGCATTCGTGCTGTGGTGTCTTCCACAGCTCCACTTGTGGTGAAGG